TCCCACTCTGCCATAAAAGTCCTGGGATTGCAGAGGCAGGACACCGAATCCAGATTTTAGTGTGGGCCAAGCATCCAGCTTGGCCCTCAGGCTTATACAGCTAGTGTTTCTGTTCCTCTAAGCTATCTCCCCAGCCCCAGCTCATGGTGGGGGTGTGTGTGCATCTTTGTGTATGTGTATAGATAAAAATCAATGAAATTAAACGTCCATGGATTTTTTTAATTGTTTTCTTGCCCACATCGGAAAGCTTTCCTGTAGTACAGAAGTATAAAGTCGAGCTGTCCCAACACCGTCTTGAGATGCAGGCAGTAGGCCTTGCCAGCTCAGGAGTGATTCTTGGAGCTTTTAACCCAAGCATTTCTCCTTCTGCTTGATCTGCGAATGTCTCATACAGGCTGTAAGGCTGCATGGTGTTTGCAGGGCGTGTGGCTGCCAGCCCATGAGCTTCCAGGCGGATCAGCCAACAGCAAGTAAGACTTCTGCCAGGGCCTTTTCATGGAGGCTGCAGCCCGTTGAGTGACCATAAAAGAAAGGAAGAGAGAATTTGGGGCTGTAGCTTCACTCCCAATGGGTGGGCCAAAATGCGGACCCCATAGTTTCTCTGTGACAAGAGAGATACAAAAACTATGAGTAGGAGCCCCAGGTCTGTTTCCACCGCTTTGGGCATAAGAGACCACAACACCTTCGTTTTTGAAAGGCTCCTCCTTGGACTATATTGGCAGAGGTATCCAGGTTACACTTAAGGAAAAATAAGCACATAAAACCATTTTTTATACCACAGAACACTGCAAGAGAGACTTCTGCTTCTTTCAAACTCCCAGATGCCCCCGTCTGTTTAATAGGGGAAAAACCCAATGGCCAGTTCCTGGGTCCACCCTCAGAGGCAGGCTGCCTGCCTGACCCATGTGGCCTGTTCCGGGGAGCCAGCCACCCCTGTGAACACTGCCGGTACCTACTGCCAGCTTGAGACTCCCAATAATTTATGAACGAGCGTCTGAGTTCTCACCTGCAATGAGCTCTGCTTGGAATGGGGCCAGGGTACCCTCTATTGTCCAGGCTGGCCTTCAACTTGATTTTTAACCAAAGATGTCCTTGAACTTTGATTCTCCTGCCTCTACTTCCTGAGTTTGGGCATTGCAGGTGGGCACCACTTGTGGGACTCTAGGGATCAAGTCCAGGGCCCAGTGCATGCTGGGAAAGCACCCTACACCCTGGGTTACATCAGTCAGCCTCCGAGGACCTGCCCGGTCACTCCGGGCTCTTCCAGTCCCAGTGCCTCTCATCCTGGGGGTCACATTTCTCGCCCCTGATCAGCCCGGTCACCTGATCACGTCAGACCTCAGTTTTCCCACCCATAAATGAGAGTAGCCAAACGCACCATGAGCGGAGGCGGCAGGAGCAGGCCGAGCCCCGAGCACACCGGGAGCTTTCGCCTTAGCAACTGGCAGCTTTTGAACACCTGGGTGCAAGAGACGCCTGCTGAGAATCACCTTGGAACAATTTCCACAATGTTTTATTTAGCATCGGTGCATCCGTACATTTCTGTAGCACCGCATCTGTAACCACGCCAGATGTGGTTCAGCGTTCAGATGAGTAACTTTCAGAGGTTCACAAAATTCCCAGGCCGGCTGTGACAGAGTCCTGTGGCTTGCTCTGGGGTTTCCTCTTCCCCCTCCCCCTCTCCCCCCATCTGTCTGTCCGGCTTGATCTAGGTCCTAACTAACGGGGGCTCCACTGCTCTCTATTCCTTTTCCAAGGTAAAGCCTGGGCAGCTGCTGGGCCACCGGAGCCACACCTGGCCCACACCCCGAATTTGGGTTTTTATGATCTATGAAACCAATACATGTTAATTTAAGAAAAACTGACTGTAATTCAGACACTGTGGAGAGGGAGCCGGGCGCTGGAAAGACGGTGTTGCTGGTTAAGGGAACCTACTGTTCTTGTAGATGATTCTGGTCCCCACACCAGGGAGCTCACAGCTCTAACTTCAGTTCCGAGGCATCCGACCCCCTCTGACCTCCAGGGGCAACACATGCGTGCATGTGCGTGCACACACACACACACACACACACACACACACACACGCACACACGCACACACGCACACACGCAGTGCAGGCACACATACAGACACATAATAAATAAGTAATTTTTTAAAAAGAAAGGAGAAAAGAAAGCAGGCAAGCAAGCTGCGAAGGTCAGCCAGTTGTTGGGCGCAGGTAGCAAGCTGAACACAGACCTTAGTCTCAAAGGCTTCATGGGTTGCGTTAATTCTTCTTTCTTTCTTCCTTTCTTTCTTTCTTCCTTCCTTCCTTCCTTTTTCTTTCTTTCTTTCTTTCTTTCTTTCTTTCTTTCTTTCTTTCTTTCTTTCTTTCTTTCTTCTTTCTTCTTTCTTTCTTTCTCATACCGAGGCCCAGTCCTTTGATCCCTGTGTGCACTGCTTAGACAGAGCCTTTGAACTTCATGGCGACAGGGGACTTTCCAGGTTGCTCACCTCATTCTCTGTCTTCTGCATTTGGGGACCTGAAGGTAGACACTGCATTGTATATTCCAGTGACAGGCACGGAGCCACCAGCTCTCAGCTCTGGAGGACCCTCCCTCTTGTATTCCGATTTGAGTGTGGTTCTCTCTAAGTAGACAGGGCTGGGGGGGAGGCTCCCCGCCTCCTGAGGGCTGAGGGATGGCCTGTCCCCAAGACTCTCTCCAAGCTTCTGGTGGTTGCTGGACCCGGGACACTCCGGGCCTCTGCCTCAGTGGTCACACCGTTGCCATCGTCTTCATCGTCTCATAAAGACACTATTCTTGCTAGTTTATGGGTACAGCCTTCCCCAGTGTGTCCCATCCACGGGTGCGATCGCCCTGTTTCCAAAGAAGGTGACACTCTGCGGCCCTGGGAGTTGGGGGGTGGGGTGCACTTCATTCCATGGCATCCTCTTGAGAAAACCTCCCCCCTTAAAAAAAAGCCATTGTCATTCTTTAATGGCATTGATACATTATTTAATGTATTGATCTGTGGAATGTACACTTTTCGTTCAGTTTTTTTTTGTTCTTATACTTTTTTCTTGTAAGGCAGGTTTTCTAAAAATGAAAAATAACCCACAAACCTATGCAACTAGGAAAAACCTGCTATAAAAACACTAAGTTTTTTTTCAAACTTAACCAGTTAATTCATCCTTAGATGCTGATCTGCATTTCTAAATTATTTATTAAGTTAGTGTTATGCATGTGTGTCTGTGCATGTATGGGGGGCATGCAGACACAGGAGCCGGTGCTGTCCTTCTACCACTTAGATCCCAGGGATTGAACTCAGGGCCCTCTGGCTTGCAGCAAACACCTTCAGGCACTGCGCCAGCTTGCCAGTCCTGATCTGTGTTTGTAAAGAATTTAAGCAGTGCTATGACGCCTCCGGGAAAAGGCTCAGAAGTCCAGCTGTCCAGGCAGCTGCCTGGTCTCCCCCGTGCAGGCTCTTGCTGCAACTTACTGACTTATCTGCAGCTCTTACACCCCGGGATTTTCTTTCTTTCTTTTCTTCACTTGTGTACCGAGCTGGAGTGAAGCTACGTGTCATTTCTGTGTGAGCTGGGGGAGGACATGTCCGGCTTGTCCTGAATGAGCAGAGTAGGCTCTGCCATGTCGTTTAGTTCTGGCTGGGTAATTACCTGTCTGTGATCCTCACCCACCAAGTGAGAAGCTGAATGGCAAAGGCTTCCCCAAGGTACAGGGCAGTCACCCCTAACACACACACACACACACACAGAGAGAGAGAGAGAGAGAGAGAGAGAGAGAGAGATGCTGCCCTGCCCACCTGACCCGCTGAGGGCCTTCAGAACGTTTGTCTTGGACCCTCATCTCGCTAGCAAATGTTTCCACAGCTGTACGCGTGCCTGCGGGGTAAACAGTAGCCCACGGGGCACGCCAAAGTCAGCCCTGGGGGCCAGTCCAGCCCAGTGCCATAAAGCCCAGCACGAGGCAGGGCCTTCCCTCGCCAACAGCAGTGCAGGGTGGAGCCTGGCGCAGCATGGCGGGAGGAGAGGCGGTTTCCATGGAGACGCATTCACTCTGTTAACAGGTTTTCTGCTGAATGAACTGCAAACCCTGGAAGAATTGCGTGATGCCAGTTGCCAGTTGCCAGCTGCCGCTCTCGCTGTGGGCGGGGGAGGCTCTCGAACACTTCTTAAATTAGAAAATCCTTCAGTTAAAAATAGCAAACCCTAATGATTTCTAAACTTAGCCCTCCTTGCTTTCCATAAATACACCTAGACCTCCCCAGACCCGTCCACTCCCCAAGCCTCGTGGGGCTCAGGCAGGCACGCTGTCCTACACTTTTTAATGGGTAACCTTGACAAGGAAGGCTCAGAGAAGCCGTAGAATTCAGGTCAGGGGACAGCCAGGACGACCAGGTCCGCCCGGATCTTCCACTCTGCAGACCCTGGGCAACAGAGAGCAACTGGGGACTGTCCTGATTTGCTTGGGGGAGTCCCCCACCTTGGCAGCCTCTGACCTGTTTCTGGGTGCCTGAGAAAGTCACCTCCTTTCGGACACAGCACCCAAGGCCGTGCTCCCTTGCAGACACAGCACCCAAGGCCGTGCTCTTAGTCATACTGGCGCACGCCTTAGCATGTCGCCCAAGGTGTGTGGGCGACATGTGTGGTTACTGATTATTGACCACACAGAAGGAAGGTGTAGCAGAGAAACCTGAAGGTAGACATCAGGCAGAACTTCTTCCTGTGCTCTCCATGAGTAGGTCCCAGGAGAATGGGTGCTCTGGAGTGCAGTTCCCTGGGTCTCCAGGGAGCACAGGCTGCTGGGACCTGAATCCATCTCTTCCAGCTCTGTCCTTCCACGCTGTCAAGTCCCCAAACCTTTTTTTTTTTTTCCAGGATATGTTAATTACACCAACTGCCTATGGAAAAGTGTTTCGGTGACAGAAATAAATGCATCGAGATAATATTTAACCCAGTTCCCTTTTCTTCCCCTCCCTCTCCTCCTCGGCTTTATTAGGCCTCCTGTGGGCACCTAAGGACCAGATCCACCCCTGGGGACCGGGCACTGCCTGGCGCAGCTAGTGGGGCCCTTGGCCATGGCCAGCACAGCGGTCCAGCTCCTGGGCTTCCTGCTTAGCTTCCTGGGCATGGTGGGAACGCTCATCACCACCATCCTGCCGCACTGGCGGAGGACCGCCCACGTGGGCACCAACATCCTGACGGCTGTGTCCTACCTCAAGGGGCTGTGGATGGAGTGTGTGTGGCACAGCACAGGCATCTACCAGTGCCAGATCTACCGCTCACTGCTGGCGCTGCCCCGGGACCTGCAGGCGGCCCGCGCACTCATGGTCATCTCCTGCCTGCTGTCGGGCCTGGCCTGCGCCTGCGCCGTAGTGGGCATGAAGTGCACGCGCTGTGCCAAGGGCACACCCGCCAAGACCACCTTCGCGGTGCTGGGGGGCGTGCTCTTCCTGCTGGCCGGCCTGCTGTGCATGGTGGCCGTGTCCTGGACCACGAACGACGTGGTGCAGAATTTCTACAACCCGCTGCTGCCCAGCGGCATGAAGTTTGAGATCGGCCAGGCCCTGTATCTGGGCTTCATCTCCTCGTCCCTGTCTCTCATCGGGGGCACCCTGCTCTGCTTGTCCTGCCAGGACGAGGGCCCCTACAGACCCTACCAGGCCCAGTCCAGGGCAGGGGCTGCCACCACAGCCACCGCCCCCGCCTACTGCCCACCAGCAGCTTACAAGGACAACCGTGCCCCCTCCGTGACCTCAGCCTCGCACAGTGGGTACAGGTTGAATGACTATGTGTGAGTTTCTTCCCTAGGCCTCTGCCAGGGCTGCTGGGCCCTAAGGGACTGATGACTGATGACTTCCCTGCAGGAAGGCTGCGGGGACCCACGTGAATGTGGGGGAGTGAGCCCGAAACACAGAAAGGAGGGCGCTCTTCGAGGCAAAGACTTCTGAAAAGTGCTGTTTTTGTATTTATTCTATGTATTTTTGCGGGAGGTTTAATACGAGCGCAATAAAGAGTGACTGGAAGCTAGTCCATGGGCTTGTTTTGTGACGCAGGAACAAGCAGCTTGGGGGAGGGTCTGCGAGGTGGGCAGCCGTAGTTCCTGCTGCATGTTCGGGTGCGGAAAAGTCAGCCCTAGAAAGCTGGAGTACCCTGCTTGTGCAGCCAAAGTAATGACGAGGACCCCTGAGCCTTATACTGAGTCCCTAACGTCCACCAGTGCATGATGGGAACATCTAGAAAGCCGACTGCTGTGGCCCCAAGAAGCCCCTGTAAATCCAGAGGCGAAAACAGAAGAAAGACAAAGCACAAAGCAAAGAGGTGTTGCTGTCTCCCTGCAAACTGCTCCTAGGACAATAGAAATAGTAATAGATAGTGTAAAATATATTACATATAATATACAATGTTCCATTACATATATAATATACATTGTATATGTGTGAGAGAGACAGAGAGTGAGCACAGCTGAGGACAGAGTCTGGACTCTTCTGCCACCTTGTGGGACCTGCCATCAAACTCAGGTCATTAGGCCTTTCCAAACACCTCTGCCCACTGAGCAGTCGGCTGGCCCAACAGCTCCCACTGCAGTGAGCTAAAAAGGGAAGAATTTGGTGCTTCCACTTTCCGTACATTGGCAAGAAGGTCAGTCAGGAGTGCTTGGCCCCAGAAATTAGCTGAATTTGCTAGATGCTTTTCTGGGTGAACAGTCCTGGTTGCCATGACAGCAGGCTGGGGGGGAGCTCATTAATTTATTCATAAATTAATGTATTTATTTACTTTACATCCAGATAGAAAGTTCCCCTCTCCTCTCCTCCCATTGCCCCCCTCACCTCCTCTTCCTGTTTCCCCTCCCCTCCTTTTCCCTTGTGCCCCCCTCACCTCACTTCCTCTTCCCCTGTGCCCCCTCCCCTCCCCTCCTCTTCCCCTGTGCCCCCTCCCCTCCTCTTCCCCCGTTCCCTCTCCCCTCCCTTCCTCTTCCCCTGTGCCCCCTCCCCTCCCCTCTTCTTCCCCCGTGCCCCTCCCATTCTTCTCAGAGAAGGGGAGACTTCCCTATGAGACCCCTTTACCTAGTGAAAAAAAATCCCAGAAAGTGGGGGCTTGACTGCTGTGAGAGCCCTACTGTCCTCTCTGGCTTCAGTTACAGGACCAGAAAGCTGAATAATGTCTTCCCAACCTCCCTCCCAGCCCAGGCAGCCTGGATCTGGTCTCTTGTCCTCGCTTTGTCTCGGCATCTGTCTGTGGCTTTCAGAGCAGAGAAACTCCCACCCAGGGGCTGAGCATGAGAGTCCCCCAGCATAGGAGAGCTGCATTGGGACAGGCGGAGGCTCAGCCTGGGGAGACCCCAGCCCATGACCACCCAGGGTGAGAATGAAGACCCAAAAGGAAAGTGGGGTCACAACCGAAGTCCTAGACCTAGACCCCAAGGGCCCTCAGAACCCCTGCCTCGGTTGCTTTTTAATAACACCTGTCAGTGACTGAGGACAAAGTTTAATTGGTTGAGTGCTCGCCTAACATGCACAAGGCCCTGGGTTTGATCCCAGCACCACAAAAAGAAAAAGAAAAAGAAAAGAAAAAAGAAAAGAAAAGAAAGAAAGAAAGAAAGAAAGAAAGAAAGAAAGAAAGAAAGAAAGAAAGAAAAACTGGGTGTGGAGGTGTAGCTGCTGCCACAGAAATTAAGAAGTGGAGACTGGAAGATCAGAAGTTCAAAGCCATCCTTGGCTACACAGCCAGGTCAAGTCTGGCTGCAGGAGACCGTGTCTCAGAAGTGAAAAACAAACAAGCTGTCTGTTAAGATGCAACGCAAAGGGAATAGGGTTGATTGTGGCTGCAGGAGACTGTCTCAGAAGTGAAAAACAAACAAGCTGTCTGTTAAGATGCAACTCAAAGGGAATAGGGCTGATTGTGGCTGCAGTCTGAGGGCTCAGCCCACAGCGGCAGCAGGCGATGAGGCAGCAGGCGATGAGGCAGCAGGCGATGAGGCAGCAGGCGTACTTCCTAACTGCAGTTCTGCTGTTGTTGTGAATTCTAATGTAGATGTCAGCTGTGCAGCCCACCAAGGGTCCGGGCCCGCAGGATAAGAACTACTGTTCTGGAGCGGGGCAAGCGGACAGAGTTCATCATCACACTTCCACTGCAGTGCTGTGCTTCGTCCTGACTCTGCAGGGCTCCCCAGACCCTCAGGAGGCTCCCCGAGCCTGGGCATGAGCCAAGGGAGCTCTTTTGTTTCCTCAGCCAATTGCACCTACGGATCTGCTCTGTCTGTGAGGCCTCAAGAGAGCTCCTGGTGTCCTAGTAAGGGCTTCTATGGCTGTAACACAGCACTGTGAGCAAAAGCAATATGGGCATGACAGGGTCATTCTGCTTACCCTTTCACACAGTAGTCCCTCCCTGAAGGAAGCCTGGACAGGAACTCCAGCAGGGCAGGAACCAAGATGCAGGAGCTGAGGCAGGGGCCGTGGAGGGTGCTGCTTTCTGGCTTGCTCCTCATGGCTTGCTCAGCTGCTTTCTTGTAGAACCCACTAGAGAGAGCACCACCCACAACAGCCTGGGCCCTCGCCCGTTGATCACCAATTTTCACAAAAATGCCTCACAGATCTTTTGGAGGCAGTTGCTCAGTTGATGTTTCCTCATTCCCAGTGGTGCTAACTTGTGTCAAGCATAAACCTGGCATCGGACCTGGCAATAGGAAGTAGCGAGTCAGATAAAAGCAGCTTGAAGGTCAGTGGGGACGGGCCTTACCTCATAATCAGTAGCTTGTGATATGAGGAACTCAAAATAATTAGAGCTGTGTGTACAACAGTAAATTTCTCAAAAATAAAAAATTAAGGGGGTGGAAGTCCTGAGTTGGTCTCTGGCCTTGGGTTGAGAATGTAACCTTCTCACCCACTAAAGTGCTTGCCTAGCAAGCATGAGGCTTGTGGTCCAAGCCCCAGCTGGGCACCAGGCACTCATACAAACATGCAGACAAAACGCAAAATGCTCATAAAACAGATTTAAAAAAAAAAAAAAAGAGCACCCATGATTACACAAAAAGTTCAAGGCCAGCCTGAAATACATAAGATAAAATAAAACAAACACTCCTTGGAAAATTATAAGATTAGTATTTAGCCAGAAACACTCTGGTATAGACAAAAACATGCCATAGTCCCTCTTAAGAGTGAATCCTAATGCCTCCCTGCCAGCCACCCAGGCAGGAGGCTGGACCTCAAGGAAGCTGCCCGCCCTAGCCAGTCTCTCCTCGGTCTTCCTCTGCCGCCTCCACCCACCATGGACCCCAACTGCTCCTGTGCCACAGATGGAAGCTGCTCCTCTGCTGGCTCCTGCAAGTGCAAAGACTACAAATGCACCTCCTGCAAGAAAAGCTGCTGCTCCTGCTGCCCCCAGGGCTGTGCCAGTGCCCCCAGGGCTGTGCCAGTGCCCCCAGGGCTGCATCTGCAAAGGGGCTTCACACAAGTGCCGCTGCTGTGCCTGAAGTGGGGGCCCACAACGTCTGTAAAGAGAACGTGCACAAACCCTGTCCTTTTCCACAGCCCTGAGCCGGTCTCCACACTTTTCTACAAAGCGTGTACCTGACAATAAAATGGTTGATTTGATTAAAAAAAAAAAAAAGAACGGGAGAAAGCGGACTGAAGAGTTGGCTCAGCAGATCAGAGTAGCTGCTGCTCCAAAAGGATACCAGCACCCACGGCAGGCCGCTCGTACTGCCAGTAACTATAACTAGACGCCCTCTTCTGGCCTCCTTAGGGACCTGCATGTATGTGCGTGCACACACACACACACACACACACACCCCACAAATAAAACAATAAATCTAGAACTAAAATAAAAAGTAGAAAGTGAATTTGAGCTGGGACTTGTATGGACATGATCAGACTGCATTGTGAGAAAGGTGACATGACATCAGTTCCAAGTCTGAATCCCAAAGGAAACAGGAAGTGACGTGTGGGGCGGTCCTCAGCTATCAGGAAGTGGCATGGTTGACCTGCCCTACACAAGCCACCTAAACCAGGAAGCAGACACGAGGGAGACTGGCCTTCCTCCTGCAGGTACCAGTATCTTGCCCTTTCTCTTCTCATTTACCCCAAGACAAGTGTCCCCGCCCTTGTAAGCCTCTTTTTTTTTCCACTTACAATCAGGGCCATCACTGTCTCCTGCTCAAATCTTCAGGACTAGGACTTAACCAAGATGGAGTCCTTCAGAGGCGCAACACCAGACCTTTGGCTTCATAAGGAAAAGGAAGCGTGAGTCATATGTGTGCCAAGAGCTGTCGTTACAGCATGGCATGAATTACAGCTCTACCTTTGTGGGTTGAGAAACACTACATTTGTTTCTCTCCGAACTTGGCTCTGGTCCTGAGACATCAGCCATGCTTTCGGGCCTTTCCCCCTCTTCAGGAAGGAAGGGAGAGGGGTATGGGGCAAAGAAGGGCCTAGTTTCAGAAGAAGTGAGAGACCAATTTTCCCCCATAGGACAACGCTGCTCACACACTGACCACCAGGCTCCGCTGCCTTTCAATCCCGAGTCGCCTCCATTCGTCCCTGAGGGTATGTCCCACCTGGGGATACCTGGAGAAAACACCCTTTCTCTGGAGGTCTGGGGGAAGCTGTGTCCTGCCTGTGCCCCTCCTGTGCGCTTGTATCCACCTCCCCTCCCAGGGGTGACTCGCCTGAATGCTCTCCTGGGTTAAATCTGAAGTCTCCCTGAACATCCTACCTTCCTGCTGTGACCCGAGTGGAAATGCTATGAAGCCAAAGCTGTCCAGAGTTTGTGTAGCAGCTGTTTACTTGAAAATGATAACCCGAGACAGAACCAGGATTTTGACTTTAACCTGGGCCACAGCTTCAGGGCAGGGCCCACTGGCTGTGGCTGCCATGTCCCACAGAAGGAGGGAGGAAAAGGGGTGACAGCCCCGGGGTTGACTTGGTGGAAGGAGAGGACACCTGACACTTATCCTGTGTTTCAGAGGCCACATGTCACCTGAAGGCCACACACACACACAGCATGAGGAAGCCACCAATGCT